ACTACCCTCTAAAGAGGCTCTTTTCCGCACTTTCCCCCCCACCACATAAAAAAAAAAAAAAAAAAAGAGAGAGAGAGGGAGACCTCTCCCCCAATTAATATGTAGATGATGACAGTGGAGGGGAGGGGGCCCAGGAAGGGGTGTGTGTGAGCGTGTGTGTGTGTGTGGAAACAGAGGGACGGCGGAGGTCATATCTTTTGCGTTTAAAAAAAAATAAAAATAAATCAACCAGACCAGAAAAACAAGCCATCCCCCAAATTTTTATGATTGAAACCCAGAAAATGAAGCAGATGACATAAACGCCACAAAGGGATCCGCGCCGGCGGAAGCGCCGGGGACGATTTAATGGTCGTGACACGCTCCGTGCACTCCGGCTCTCTCCGCTGCTCACTGTCCCAGCTGTGGGGACCCTCGCCTCTGCGACCCCCTCCTCTCTATTAAAGGCAATACGGATTTTCCCCGCAGCTATCTGCCTTTAAGCCTCCCCCCTCCCGTTAACCTCTTCAGGGCCGACAGCTCTCCCAGCCCTGCCGTGAGCCATTTCCCTACCGTGGCGCGGCCGCCCCTCACAGAACAGTGCGAGCACGTTTATGATGGTCATTATTTATTTACCTCGAAAAACGTGCTCTCTTCAGGTGTAAAACTACTGGATCCAAACGGGAGGGCGGCAGGGACGGATTTTAACAGGGTCACCAAGCACACAGAATTGGACCAAGCTTCTGGGATTGCCAGAGGTGACTTGCAAAGGGACAGAGGCTGGCAGGAGCCCTTTTTGGTTTGAGGGGTCAATTACAACCCAGAAAGAGCTTAAAAATAAATCAATACTCACCTTTCGTCGTCCTTCCCCCCCTTCAACCTGATTCCCCTCCTCCCTCAGTTAACTCCTGCTACCCCTTACTTACTCTTACCCTGCCTTCCTCCCATCCCCACATCTGGTTTCTATTGCTCACTTACCTTGAAGTTTTCAGTAATAAAGATATTACGCAAACTAAATCCACAGTTAAAGAAAAGAAAAGAAAAGAAAAGAAAAGAAAAGAGAAAAGAAAAGAAAAGAAAAGAAGAAAGATTTTAACGAAATAAAAGAAAAAAGAGTAATGGAAAGGGAAGACGAGAAGAACCTTAACCCCTTCGGGAGCGCGGGCCGCAGCAGAGCCGGCTGCGGGAGGGGAGCGGGGGCACCGGCGGCTGCTCTGGGCTCCCAGCGGGCTCCCCCCGGGGCCCGGAACATGTGTCCTCCCTTCTCCCGCGTAGCTTCCCCCACCCCGTGCAGAGCAGGGGGGACTCGTGGCTTTCATCTGTGTGTGTGTATATCTGTGTGTGCGGGGGGGAGCGGGATGCGGCTCCGGGGGGAGCGGGAAGGCAGAATGGGAATGCGACCCCCCGAAACTGCGGCTCGGGAGGGGCCCTTGGCCACCGTCACCCTCCAGGCCTTGCTCCACAAACAAGACCGGCACCGCAGTTTTCATTAGCTCGGATCTGTCAATAATAGGCGACCACCCCTCGCCCCCCAGATGCAGAAGGGATTTCTAGCGACGTCGTCATTAAAAACAGCCAGAGACGGATTCATTTACGAGATTTGAAACCATTTTGTGAGTTTCCCTCAGAGCAGGAACGGGCTCGCTGAGTTTTCTAGTCCAAGAAAGCTTTCAGCGGATTTGCCTTCTTATTCTGTTTATTACCTCTACTTAATTATTTTCTCGTCCTTTCTTTCTCCCCTCCCAAACTCGCCCACCCCACTGCAGGCCCCTTTCTTTCCCTTGTCCACAACATAATAAAAACCAAACCAACTCAATGCACGAAAGCCTTTCTAAAATCCGCTTCGGGGCGGCCAAGGGAGCCTGGGTACTGCCGGTACCGGCAGCCTGCGAGCGGCTCTGCTCAAGGGCAGCTGCCCTGGGTACCGAGAGCACCTCAGCTCCCGCATCCCCAGCTCCTCCGCAGCGGACTCGCAGCGGCGCTCACGGCAGAGGAGCGCTTCAAATACGTGTTTCCCAGTTCGTTTCCCCGCGATTTTTTGGGAGAATGGAAAAGAAGCCTGAAACAAACGATGTGAGGGCAGTTCTCGATGCTACAGCATTATACTCGGCCTCGGGATTTCTCTTCGGCAAAGTTAAACAATTTGCAAGAGCAAAAAAACTGAAGGGAGAGATCTGGGGATCGGGCAAGAAAAATTATAAACACACACACATATGTGTGTACATTTACATATATATGTACATATATATAATTTTTATTCACAAACGTTGCAATGCACTGTCTCGGAGAGGCAGTGCAGCGTGGCCGACCCGGAGGAGGGCTGCCCAGGGTGTCTTCGGTCAGAACGCCCGGCTAGCCTCTCCTTGCATTACATTATAACGAAAAATCCAATAAATTCAAATCAGGGCTAATCCGCAGCCCTCGGAAAAGACAGCAATGGAAACGTCTGTCTAAGAGCCAATTTGCGTTCCTAGAAGCGGGAGGTTAATTCGGGAATCGTTACCGGGGGAAAGGATGTGCGCAAATACCTGGCGATCTAGCGGGCGTGGGGGGGAATAACCGGGAAATCACTGTTCCTGGATGTTTTCGTTTAGCCGGACTAAGTTTGGCGTGCGGTTCTCTCAGCAAGTGTGACGGGGGATTCCCCTCAGCCCCCGTCAGCTGGGAGCGGAGCCTTGCGAGTACAAAAGCCTGTAGCCGCCTTCCCGGTAAACGAGGCGATGGAGCCGCGTGTCGCGGCGCAGCCGGGACTGCCGTGTCCATCCGGCCGCGGCGTTCTGCCCGCCCGCTGTCCCCGCATTCCCGACTGCGGGACCCAGGATCCGCAGAGCAAGGGTGCAAAGGGACGCGCACCATTTGAAACACGATCTCGTAATTTTTCCTCCGAGTGACCTCAAATCTACCCTGCCCCTGCATCAAATGCATCCAAAAGGGAAGGGAGAAAGCGCGGCCGAAAGGTTCGCGCTCCATAGCAACAAGTTGCCAATTCCATGTGTACGTGGGTTTTATATCGAGACAATTTTCAGGTACGGTCGCTGTTGGTTTTGGAAGGGGTCACTCCAGAGAATCCCTTCTCCCGCAGAGCTGCTGGAGCCCATGTAAGAGCCAACCGGTCCCTCCTTTATGGACAGCAGCTCACAACGACCGAGTAATAGATGGGAGAATCGTTAGGAATCTGCAGTTCCGGACGCTCCAGGTGTCGCCTGCCGGCCATACCCCAGGGAGAAGGGATAGCCCAGGGCAGCCCTGACTCGCTTGTTTCCGAGGAACTGTTTCCTTTCCGCTGAGGCAAGGGCGGGTGTCACTCCCGGGTGAGGACCCGGAGCGAGGCGCAGGCGATGGCGGGCATATCCTGCATTTCGATTTCTGATAGAACAATAAATCTTTATTCCTGTGTGATTTAAACATTCAGGCTTGTGTTAAGCCCAGGGAAAAGGCAGAGGTTTCCGCTGGTCCCTGCACACCGGGCGCGGCATCGCAGGGCTGCAGGGAGCGGGCAGGCGGGACGGCTGCTGGGACGAGCCCGGCTCTCGCAGGAGGCCGGGGGGAGGAGGCAAGAATGCTCTTCCCCACTTTCCCAGCCACCGCCGAGGGAAACCCGCGGTGTCCCCTCAAACCTCCACCGTCCTCCTGGTACTCCCGATGTCTGCGGCCAGAGCGGCGGCGGGATGGCTGAGAAGAGTCACGGCAGGACTCCGGGGTGCCGGATCCAGCTCCCCAGGTCCTGCCCTCACCTCTAAGCCGTGGGAGAGTAAATACTTCGGTTCAGGGAGCGGGGTCGTTTCACTGGAGAGGGGGATGGAGAGAGGGGGGATCTTTCACACCGTTCCCTCCTGGCACTTTGGCAGAGCCCTGCTCTTGGAAACTATTTCGGATTTGTTTCCCCAACGGTTTGGTTTGTGTGGTCACTTCAGAGCTGCGGGCTCCTTTTGTACTGGACTGAGGTCTGAAGGTGACCTATTTATAACACCGCTGCAAGGGGGAGTGAGGGAAAAAAGTACTCGTGCTAATCTCCCCCAACATTTTTTTTTTTTTTTTCCAGCGGGACGAAGTTTCATCTTTATTTCGGGAGAGGAGCTTGCTTAGTGACCGTCCGGCCGGTACCTGCCGCCTTGCACTCTGGCTCCTGCTTCCTGCCTGGCACCGGCTGGGGCCTGAGCTGCACCGTGCGGGGGCTTTGCTGTCCTGCCTTTTGAGCCTTTCCTCTGGAATAAATATCTAATGTTTTTAAAACACGTTCCTCGTGTAACGAAAGCGCTTGCAGAGAACTGAAGCTGACCCGCTCGCCTCCTTTCCGGGAAAAAAGGAAGGACCAGGCTCCGATGCTGGCCAGTCTAGCCCCTATTTCTCTGAGCTTGTGCTGCAAAGCT